CCCGCCCGGTCGCCTCCTCGTCCTCTGGGCCAGATTAGTTGATGTAGTTCGAGTTAGAGGCGCCGCCGCCTCCGCGAAAGTCAGTCCGGGCGAGGAGGAGGAGGAGGGGGCGCAGGAGCGAGAGCAGCAACTCTGCCGGGAAGGTGCTTGACCGCTCGGCCTCGGGAAATCCGTTTCCCTCCTTTCGCGGGACGGAAGAAGGGGCCGTGGCCTATCGAGAGGGGGAGACGGACGGCGAGTCGGTGGAGCGAGATGCAGAGATGCGCGCTGACCCGGAGACGCTTCTTTCGCGCTGGCGTCGGGAGCGGCGGCTTTAATGCCGGTTGCGAAAAAGCTCCTCCGCCGTCGGAAACTTCGTTCAGTCAAACTGCATCCTGGAGCCGGCGCTCGTGTTGTTCAAATCTCCCTCCTTTACACCTTCCCGTGTGCGCCCAACACCCAGTGTGTCCTGGGGCGAGTGAGAGAATGAGCGGCGGCGGTGCTGACGATTTTGGGAAGTTCGTCCACACGATCCCGGGGTGATGACTCATTAGGGAAGCCCCTCCAAGTGAGGGATGGGAGGACTGTCAGCGCTCTATTTTTGCACGTTGGGCAGTCTCAGTCGTTGGAGACAGCTGCTGTGGCTCCTTTTGGGGAGAAAACCACCCGGCGATCAAAAAGTTTAAGCGGGACTGGACTGCAGGAGTATTTATATGAATGCAGCCAACTAAGTCAGATGGACTAGATACTACGTGACTTAGGTCAAAGTTACTGAAAATGATAGTACTTCTAACAGTTTTGGAAAATATTACAGTATTTATTAGGTTTATATCCTATCTTTCCTGCAGGAGCCCAAGGCAGTATAGGGAGTGCTCCCTCGTCCCAATTTTTCCCATAACAGAAACCTTATGAGGTAAATTGGACTGAGAAAAGTTATCCAGAAAGCCTCCGTGGCTCTGAGGGTGGGCTTGAACCTTGGTCTCTGCAATTCTACATCTGCCATCTTCATTATTATGCATCACTGGTTCTTTTTAAAAATATAAAACCCACAATAGCACAATTACAATGATATTTGTAAACTGAGATGATAAAGTTTTCTTTTTGTCCTGTTAATATAAATATTGAGACAGTGGCATTGTGTGCCATACAACTGACTTCACTCAGAAGGAATCCAAACATTTTTCTGTTGCATGTTTGAGAAACACGGCAAAAGAAAAGGCTTTCCCTTCTCCCCAAACAGTGGAGCTTGTAAAAATTAGTATTAAAAAGATACTTTTGGCATTAGATTATGCTAACATAAGTCTCAATCAGTATGAGAATATATACATAGAGGAATGATCACTCAGGATTGTACGTATAGTTCTCTGTGCATTGTTTAGGTTAGAAAGTGATATGATTCTGGTTTTTGTTAGAGCACTGATATAGTACAGGTAAGATGGAGAGAACTGAAGTCACCAAGAGTCAGACTCAACCTGATGAAGACATTAGCTTCATATATTGAAGAGTGAAGACATGAATGTTTTGTCCCATCTTTTAATCTTACTTAGCTAGTTGTTTTTCATTGGTGAGGGGTACTTGAGGCTAGGATATCTTATGGTATGAGAAAATGTAATGAATGGAGTGGGAAAGCCGTGATTTGTTTATTTTATACTTTTAATGGTGAAGCATTGTTTCTGGATAGCTTGGTGATAAAAATGAGAAAAAGTTTTAGGCTAGGGTACTGATAAGGATGGTGGAAATATAGATGATATATTTCTTTTACTTGAACAGAACTCTATCTAGGTTGGCTTTGGTCTTGAATCTCAAAGGGTAGACTGAACTCATTTCTCTCTATTGTGACATACCCTGGTAGGTGCAAATGTAGGATAGAAAGAATTTTGTCTTTATTAGCTTTCTTTTTTATTTTCCTTCCTTGTTTTTTCCCAGCAAGCTCTGAGAAAATTTTTCTTGTAATTTAACTAATCTTCTATCCTGGAAAAGGCCCAATGTACATATCTAGAGATCTTTCATATAAGAATGTACTTTGGTACAGATGTGGGTTGAGCACTAGCTTCACCGCACCCTTTTTTCTGGATTTTTATCCATCTTGTCTGATGAAAAGTTTTTCAAACTTTGATCATGGAATTGCTTTGTAAACTTTCAGTTATTTTAATATATTAATATAGTTTCTTTAGTGGTTTGAAATTTAGTCCAAATTGTTGATCAGTAGTTTCTGGAATAAGCTTAGTACACACTGGATATACAACTATAGTCTTAAATAAAATGATTTCAAAATTGTTTTTAGGGGAAAGGATTTGATTATAAAACAATAGAAAGTCATGTAATAATTTTTGAACATAAGCAACGTGTGCAGCAATAATTATGAGTTACTTTGTCTGCTCTCCTGGGTATGGGTTGAAGTTTAGCAAACATACACAGTATTTGTGTAATCAGATAATGGAACAGGGAAAAATTAATAAGTGTACTTCAGATAAT